CTCCTTCTTATAGTTCAGTGAATTAGAGGAGGTGTCTGAGCCGGTCCTGAATGTTATCTAGACATTGTTGAGTTTAAAAATACTTTAGCCCCTTATGCCTAGGAAACAGCACTGCGTATCTCCATTAAGGTCACGTTCCTTACTCTCTACTGGAAAATAGGCGAGGGGTGCATTACGTACAATACATTAAGTTGTACAAAATAAAGTGGGATATCACCGTTTTGATACTCTTGACCCCTGCCTGTAAGCTAGTAGCAGTAGAGGTGGTAGATTTCCAGATAAACACCTTACTTTAGAAAGAAGCTCATAGACTTTTATTTTGAAAGTTGGGAAATCATTACCATTTCTATACGTTTTGGAAACAGAAGTAATTTCTTCCAAATCTAGGTTCAGGTTGACATGGTGATGACATAGTCGCCAGCTTCTTTCATCATGCTAAACCATAATATCACTGCATGGCTTTGATACTTCAGTTTGCCAAAGGATGGGTTGGTTCTGGGGGTTCATTTTAGGGGTGGTACAGTCACCATGGGTTTCTACAGGTTCCAAAGTGCTGCTCCCCAATCACTACTTTTCTCTCGGGTTGAATCTGAGAACTCACATGGGAGAAGAACAAGGAGAACCTACTTCTCTATCTTTGGACGCAAGTTCAGCTCAGAATAGATCTGCCCTCCAGCAGCCACTTTGGGGCACCTATATGTTTTTCGAAGATGGTATAAATGTGTTGAAAAGTGCATGCCCCTCCAGTGGTGACAATTATTGGCAGGAAAGTTCTCAGCCTCAGAATTTACCAGACAGTCCGAGCCCTCAGCTATTTTAGTTTCCAACCGAGCTCAGAACGCCTGGTAAATTCTGTGGCTGAGAACTGAGCACCATTCACTTCCAAGCAAATAACTGAACAGAATTTACTGTCAAGGTCCTTAGAAATTAAAATAAATAAAACAAACAAAATAAATAAATAAGTAATAAGTAGGAACTCAGCTATAGATGCTTACTTCTACTAAGAAACATGAGGCTAGTTGTAAAGATCATGACAACTGCATTTCACTTTGCTGTGCCCGTACTGTCAGCGACTTACCCATGATTTGTGATGACCTCATATTTCACAGAGGATTCTGCATTTGGGCGAGCGACACATTCATCCACATAGATTCTCAGG